TCGCCCCAGTGGCATCCAGGAAGCAAAGAGAATCAAGGAGAAAGGGACTGGGAAGAAAATATACCCTTCCAGGGCACACCCCCAGTGACCTGTGTCCTCCAACTAGGTCCCAGCTCCTACAATCTTCCACCACTCACTCCCAATAATGCCATCAAATTATAAACTCACCAGTGGATTAATCCTTTGATAAGGTCAGAACCCTCATGTTCCAATCACTTCCCAAGAGCCCCACCTCCACACACTGCTGCCCCGGGGACCCAGCTTTCAACACGTGAGCCTTTGGAAGATGTTCCAGATCCAAACTCCAACAGCGGGAACCAGCAATAGCCCAAATGGCACAACTGCTAGCTAGTCCAGGACATTTTCTTCTATTGTCGAACAAGGGAACTTTTAAAATTAGGACAATGCAATGTAATTACTATCACATTCCTACTCATAAGAAACTATTTTAATGCAATGTAGTCTTTGACTCTGAAGTCCCTTGAAATTCTCAACTATTTTGCTTTTAGAGGAAAACAAGGTAAAATGTAGATGTCCATGAGAATGGTGATACTTTGAATCCACACACACACCACATGCACATATTCCTCTTAAAATATTCTTTGGGGGTCAATATTTCCTATAGACAGATGTAGTATTTGTTTAACAATCAATGGGAAACATAAAACCCTAACATAATTTTATCCATGGTAAAACTTCAATATGTCAAGTCCTATGTTCAGGCTCCCTTTCTGAAGACTTAATATCAAGATGTCATCGTTATCCATAATGTGTTTTTGAATCAGGTCTTAAAACTTAATGTGGCTTTTGTGCCTGAAGATACGGCAGGATTCGGGTTTGGCAAGTTAGAGTGGCACACACGAGAGCCACAGTTTGATCCTAACACTCTAAGATGATTTAAAACCTTAATTAGCTCTGAAAGTTATTACTCAGATGACCTCCTCATTGGCATTTTACACCGTGGATGGGTGACAGCCTTGGAAAGCAGACCACAATGCAGGGAATTGGGATTCCATTAGAAAACCTTTTTCTCATTCTAAAAAGCACTGGAAGTGATCAGGGGTTTTCCATAAAAAAGAATGGGCTGTGATTTGGAAGTTACTAACACTGAATGGCTTGGCAGAGAGAGAAGAATTGAGAACAGAAGCAGGAACCAGCCACTCTAAGGATCCCTGCACTGGTTGTAAGCCCATCTATACCATGGACTGGCTCTGTCCTATACCACTGCCTTCCAACCTGCTGGGCAGTGGGTTAAATAATATGAAAAAGAATTTATAGGCTTTGTAAATGGGTGTCACATGATTGGCCATAGTTTCTTATTTTATTTCTTCTAGATTATATTTGCATTTTAATAGTCCTTCTGATTCCCTAACATAACCATCTTCATTCAACAGTTAATAGTGAGCCTCAGTTTGGTCAAGTACCAGTTTATCAGCTGGTATATCAGCTCTCCCAAGATATATCTTGGCCAATGGGCTTTAAAAAAGGAGGGCCTTGGGAGTAAACCCATGGCTTGCTAGTATTCTCAACAACTCTAGGTAAAGAAAGGGGTTGGGTAGTGGTTAGGACTCTGTCCCTTTCTCTAGCCTTCTATGAATTTCCCAGGCACTGTGCTTGGTGCCAGAATATTCTGGCACATTTTTCTCCATCCTGAAGAAAAAGACACTTACTGAATGATCCTGTGGAATCCATAAACTGTTCCCTGCAATGGTAGTGGGACAGGTAGTGGGAAAGCACAGTCACACAGAGACTGCAAAACAGAGCACTCCCAAGTTCTTAGGAGGCATGGACTCAAAGCTCTTGGCCAGCCTACAGGAGGCAGTAGGTGTTTCTTATGGAGGCAGGGAGCAGGGCTACAGAGTAAATGTGTTTTAAAGAGTTGATACCCACACAGAGCATAAATTATGAAGGGCATTTCCTAGAATAGGGAGGAAGGAAAACAGTAACCTTACTCCATCTCCTAAGCAAGAGGGAACATCTTTACAAAAGCATAGAACTATGAGGGTAAATGTATCTGGTTATATACTGAATTGTGTTGCCCCTTATACATATGTTAAAATCCTAACCCCTATGTGAGTGCATTTGAAGACGGTGCCTTCCTTCAAAGAGATAATTAAGGTCAAATGAGATCATAGGGTGGGACCCTAATCCAATAAGATTAGTGTCTTATAAGAAGAAGAGACACCTAGGATACATGTGTACAGAGAAAAGGCTTTGTGAGGACACAGTAAGGAGTAGCCATACACAAGCCAAGAAGAAAGAGCTTAAGAGAAACCGTCTTTGCTGCCACCTTGATCTTGGACTTACAGCCTCAAGAACTGTGAAAAAGCAAATGTCTATTGTTTAAGTCACCCATACTGTGACATTTTATTACAGCTGCCCTAGCTCGGCAAAACCCGGAGTCTCCATGTAGCACCTTTGTGTACTTCCACACCATCCTGTAGAACAATTAAAATTAACTGCAAGTAGGTGCTCAATAGATGATCAATATTATATTGCATAAGTAGCTTTCTCTAAGTACACTGTAAGTGCAAATCAAATTCTTGGAAAAAAAAAAACGCACCAAACTTTTAACATCGGGTATCTCCACAAAAGGAAGGAGGAGCCTAATTGATATTTTGGATAAAGGGAACCTTAGGTAAAACAATAAAGATAGAGATTCACAGCCTACCTTTAAAAAGTGAGGAGAGTACATTCATGTGTTACTTTTATAAAATAGATCTTAAAATTTAAAAGTGGCTGTAAGGAGGAAGCAAATGTGCATTTGTTCTGCTACCTGAGCACAAGAGCCATCAAAGTGGGAGGCAGTGATGGGAACAGAAGGGCAGAAGGCACCTGGGAAGACACGTCCCCCGGAGACTCTCCAGCAGGAGTTCTCAGGCAGGTCCTCTGTCCAGGTCAGCAGCACGGCACTGTTACATGCACCTTGCTCAAGAAGAGAAGGGAAAATAGGCAAATTCAAGAGCAAAATCAAGAGCATGAGTGAAAATGAGATTAGAGAAGGGAAGAAGTGAAGGCAAGTCTAGAAAAAGGGGAACACAAAGGAGGAAGAGAAGAATAAAAGAGAGAGAAAAAGAAAGGGAGGGGGATCCAGTATTTCTGTCTGGGTTCCCCACCATCTCCCTTCCACACTTCCCCAGCCCCAGGTAACCCAGAGGTGCCATCTCCCATTGCCACGAGGAGCAGATGAGCCAGTTTTATTTTATTTTTTTTTCAATGAGCCTAGTTTGATTTCTTCTGCCAAATTTTAGGTTTAAAATTCCAGGGAAACGCACATACCTAACCAAAAATAGAAGAAAGAAACGGGTTTCTTTGAAACAGATCAAATGCAATTAAGGCCGAGTGTCCAACCCATACACCTTTGATTAACCTTAATCTGGAGAGAAATGATTGGTGATTAAGAATTAGATGAGGTGACTAATTATATCAGGAATCTGCCTTCGAAGAAATCTCTTTCAGCACCAGAGAAAACGCTGATAAAAAACAATCATGGTTGTAATGGTGCCTTTTAAGGAGAATAATTAACCTGTAATAACAATTTTGGCCTCGACTTAAGCCCTGTAAAATAATCCTTTTTCATTAACTTCAAGTTCAATTAGCATCAATAATGAGTGCTCATTTAGAAGTAACCACAGCACCAAGTTCCCCGATGGCTGAGCCTGGGGATGCTCAGCTTTTAGCTGAAGGCCATCAGCCCTGGCTGCCCAAGGCACTGAATGTCTCCCAAATGGGAGACTTGGAGGGTGTCTACTGCTGGGCAAGATAGAATGTGGCCTTCTGAAAGGTGTTTCTGATGATCTTCCTTTTTGGAAAAGAAGGAAAAGGGGGAAGAAGGTGAAAGAGAAAGAATTTACCCCCACCACTTCCAGTGGTCTATTAATCTAAATGTCAATCAGCAGCACATGACAAGATCAAGGGCCTTGTTTGCTACCTACGAGCCTGTGTGCCCGAATGGTACACTTTTGCTATCTTCAGCTGAGTTCAGTCCATAATCCACATACTCATCGGGACTTTCCTAAATGAAGGGGGAGTTCCCGAGAAGATATGACCCAGGGGGAGACCAGAGCTTCATATGGGATATTTTGCACATCTACCTACTCCTCTTTTTTCCTCACTCCTTGGCCTTTGTTTTTTACTTAACCAAAATTTAGGCCCTTTTTTCTTTTACTTTGAGGGATTTTTCAACGTATTTGCCCCCAAAGTAATTTTTCAGTACCCACAGGGGTGCCTTGCATATGGTAGGATTTCACTCAAATATCTGTCTGCAATTATAGTGAAAAATCAGAAGCTTTAATGTAGCAAAATCAGAGGCTCTGCACCCCCTCAATGGGGCCTCACAGGTCAATGAAAGGTGCACAGGACACCACAGGAAAGGAAGGAGCAGATACTACTGCCTCACCGCTCCCCTCGCCCTTTAACCTGTCCACCTCAAGACAGAGAAATGTATGAGAACAAGGCGTCCCACTAGGAGAGGAGCAGAAGTGTAAGAAACAGAAAGGGAAAGAGGGACCAGGGAACAGGGAGGCTGTCGGGGAGGAGATAGACAGGAGGACTGTTAGATTCTCACCTACTCCCTAGGACTCTGGAAGATAATAATAAAGTGTCTTTAAAAAATAATAATAAATTTCCCCTAACAGGGATGAGAAGGAAGCACAGGCTTGGAAGAAGAAAGGGATCTTCAGACTTCAGAACTAAAGATCAAATCCTACGGTAGCTGTTTACTAGGCACACGGCCTGGGCAAGTCCCTTAGTCCCTTGGAGCCTCATTTGTGAAATGCAGATGAAAATGCCTATCTACTTCATTTCTCAAGATTAAACAAGAATGTCTGCAAACTATCTGGAATATAATAAATGATCAGTTAGCATCAATGTCATGGAGTTCCTCTCCATGTCCCCGTCCCATTATTAGCTTATGTAAGGTCAAGTCTGACTCTCCCTCTGCCAGGTAATGCTTGAATGTGTCTAAGTAAATAGCAGTGAATTTTTTTTTTCTTTCAAAGGGAGGAAAAAGAGGATTCAACTAAAGAAAATTCAGCTTCTGAGAGCTGCACTCACTGGTTTTGCTAACTCAGATCAAATCACAAACGAAAGTTTGGAGCCAAGAAAGGAATCCTGGCTCCAAGCCCATCCACCAGGTATGGAAACCCTACTTCATCTGATCACATTATCTCCCAAGCAACTCCTCTCTTGTTGAGAATCAGTGCTTTACTTAAGAAAAGCTGCAAATCAAACAACGGGGCTGTCCAGGGAACTGAGGATTTAGCTCTTTAAACATTTCCTCCTATAAATATAAATGGTTGCTTTTCCACTAGAGGAAGCTCCATCCCTCTGATCCCGAAAGCGCTGGGGAAGGTGCCCAGAGGATTGTCACGCCTTCCGGTGAACACTCTCGATCACCTAATCCCTTTGCTGACAATCTTCTGATCTGACAGAAGTGGAGGTTATTGTGTCCCTTCATTTCCAAAGAATTGGGGGAAGAGGGAGTGGATCAGAGGGAAGAACAGAACACAGAATCCACCAGGGAGACAGAGAGGAGGGAGAAAGAGAGAATTACTTTTAATACAGTTGCATAATCCATAATTCAGCAAGCTTTTCATTTCTCTTATCTTCTAAAAAACATGAAATTAAGTTCTAAGCAAAGTGCATAATTTATGAGAAGTCTTCGTGCTGATGACTCCCAAATCCCCATGCCTCGCCCTGACTTCTTACACTTCCGACATAATACCACATTTCCAATTGCCTACAGGATATGGCTACCAGCTCAGCTCCCTAGGAACAAATGGAACTCAAATCATCTTCCCAATTTCTTTTCTTCCAAAGTTCTTTTTTTTTCCTATCAACTAAATCATTATTATTCTAATCTTGCTCACCTAAAATTCTATAAAACCTTGGATTCTTCCTCCTCTGTCTCTGCCCCCAAGGCCTGTGAGGTTCTCCCAGAGCCATTTTTTTCTTTGCCACCCCACTTATTCCACACCTTTCTAGACTTTTTCCCATCCCCACCCAGAATCCTGACCCCAGTCTATGTGTACAAATTCAAACCACACACTATATTATTAGTTCCATCTTCCTAGATCGTTATTCACTTCATGCCTCTAAGGGCTGCCTAATCTGCTGCTGTGAGAGCAAGCATCTCCCTGCTTGCTCTCCAAGGTCCTGACCTCATCCTGACCATCCAAAGGCATTTAACACAAAATCTTTTCTCCACAGAGAACCCAGCAGAGCATGAGGTCCATTTTAGGTACTCCAGGAAAACTAGTTGATTTGCACTAACTGGATTACACACACACACACACACACACACACACACACACACACGTAAGCATGTGCACATAGGTACACACACACACATTCTATGCTTCATGCTTCCCACCCAGAATGCTACTCACTTATCCTAACTATCCAAATCCTATTCATCCTCCAGGACCCAGCAAGACTCAGCTGCCTCTGGAAACTTCTACTTACTGCTGCTACTCACACTGTTCTTTGCCCCAAGACACATTTAGCCATGTGTTTACACCATCATATACTATTTTTAATGAAGTAGCTGGTATATTATTGTATATCATGTTTTTTTATTTCACAGTGCACCATCATATTATATATATATATATAATATTATATATATAAAAATATATATATAAAAAATATTATATATATAATATTATATATATAATATTATTTGATCCCCTCAATGACTATAGGATTGATACAATGCCTGCACTTCATTAGGACTCAAGAGTTTAGGCGAAGATCATTAAATTAACTGATGGTTGTGTCAAGTCATGAACCCCCAACTTCTGACTCAAAACTCCATGTTTTCAGTCCTCCTTATTAGACCATAAGTTCTTGAAAGTCAGAGACCATATCTTATACTGTTGCTTTTACCCTTCACAAAGTTCTGAACACCCAGAAGTTCTTAGTGATTATTTGTTGAATGGAGAACTGAAATAAGAAGAGTCAATGAGCCATTAAGAAGCAAGCAAGTAGATTTGAAAGACACACACTGGGTTCACTGAGGCACAGGTTATTAAACATGAAAAGGACTTGCTCAAGTAGCTCTTTTCATGCTCCATGTTCACATCCCTGGCTCATTCTTTATTCCTTCCTTCATTGGTTCAGCAAATATGCACTGAGCACTTCCTATGTCCCTCACGGTGAGACAGACAAGTCAAATAATTCCTTAACCTTCAGTCCCAACACTATCAGAAACTTCCTGGAGTAATGAAGAGGAAAGTTAGTTTTATGATATATGTATGTGGGTAGTTATTTCTCAATGATCTAGTCTATCTCTACATCTATTGATTAATTGATTGGTATGCCCCTATGCATACCATCAGTGTCTGACTGGCAATAATGATTACAACAGACAGCTATTAACAGAGCAGACTGGCTGAGTTTACTATATAACCAGAGAAGTACCAAAATAACTTGGGTTTTCCTTCGGGGCAGAAATGAAAATAAATTTCTTTAATCTTATCCTAGTCTCTAAAGTGTGTTACTTGGAGGTAAACAGTTTTTATCACAACAGGCTGCGTACCAATTATGTAAGAATAGAGAAGGTTATCATTTCTTATCACTGCCCTGTGGAATTCTAATTGACCCTGAAACTGATTTTAGAAATAATCTCTTCCCAGCAATGAATGCTTCAGCATCAGCCCAGGAAACAGGTTAGAATTGCAGACTTTTAATATGAAAAGAATAGAGATTAGAACTCATTTATTTGATATTATAGAAACTAAGACTCAGGAAGTTCAGGTGATTTTCCCAGGTTCAAATGGGGCAGCTCAGCACATCCTAAAATGAAAACCAAATCCCATGATTCCTGGTCCAGAACTGTCTCCTCTTCTTCCACTGCTTTGACTCATAGTTTCTCAAATTTCATGATCAATTATTGAAATAAGAGGTTTTTTATGTTATGAAAGTAAAAGATTTTATAATGAATATCTTAAGAACTTAGAAATTCTCTTTTGGGATTTAATTAAAAGCCTTTGACATAAATAAATGAATTAATAAAATAACTTGCTGGTTCCATATGGAATGCTTAGGTAATGCATAATGGGGCAGAGTTGGGTTTTGGACAATTTCAACTCTTTGAGCAAAAAGGTTGCTCTAGTCCATGATATCTAAGGATTTCTTTTAAGCCCTTTGTTTCTTTATGTTTTCTATAAGATAAATTATAATTGTGAAGATAATTAAATCCCAGTAGAGAAGGTAAGGAAACCACAAAAATAATGAGGGGGGACTCTTCTACTAATACCAACAGCAATAATAAGATGGAAAATAATGGATCGTGTCTTCAATGCTTTAACCATGTTCTAAGTGCTATGCTAAACTTTAAAAATTATCTCACACCTCCTAAGAACCCTATTGAGCAAGTACTACGATGATACCTATTTTGTAAATGAGGATGGCAAGGCCGGAAAACTTGGGTTTTGTTTTTCTTGGTTGAGGACTTTTTACTTGTTGCTTTTTGGGGCTTGGTTTCCTTTCCGGACTTACTTCCAATTTTTGTTTTACGTTGTTCCACCCCCTTTTCTTTTCGGAATTGCTTGGTTTAATTATTTTTCCCATTTTTTTTAAAAAAACCCAGAAACCCCACCTTTCAGATTCTCTTTGAAAGGGATGCTACTGCTTCTGATGATAATTGAGCATAAGGTGGAATAGAGAATTATACTCTGGGCTGGAGGATTAGACTTCTATCAGGATTTACACAGCTGGAGCAAGATAATTCTCCCTCCTTCTGTTTTAACAATATAAAATGTCTTCAGTAAAATGAGGACAAATAATACAAGTAAACATGCACCTATAAAATACTTTGTACTTAATCAAAGGAGAGGACGTGTTGATTGTGAGTCTTTCTCCGGATGCCACTGTGCCACGTCACTCAGATATGAAAAATGCAAACACAATTTTGTGCTGCAAAATACTTTCTTGATGTTATCAAATGTTCTCATTACCTCTAAAGGATCATTTGCCGCTTTTACTCTCTTCTGATTTTTCACATTTTCTGGGTTCTGAAATGTAAACATCGCTGCTTGTGATGGTTCCTTAAAAGTACTTAAGATTCTCATAGGTCAGGATCTTTATGTAAATTAGGCTTAAGTCTAAATTATGTTTCTTGCCTAAATATTTAAGCACACAAATAATCTCTAGCTATCCTGGCTGTCATTTTAAGCTAGTTGACATTTATTGTTCTGAAGAGAAGAAAGGTCAGATGTATCAAATCTGCATTTGTGCTTCATGACATTTTTCTCCAACCAGAATCTCCCAAATTATGGTATTGAGACTAGTACTATAAAAGAAAGGAAGAGAGAGAGAGAGGGAGGAAGGAAGGGAGGGATGTGGAGGGGGAAGGAGGAAAGGAAGAAGAGAGGAGGAAGGGCATGACGGGAAGAAGGAAGAGAGGGAGAGAAAGCTTCCCTGTAGCGCGTTTCTGACCTGAGCTGTCCACAGCGACCCAGGAATATTTGGTAAACCTTTGTTCTTTCCCCCTCCACTGCATTGGTCAAGCAGCCATGTGGGCATGAGGGGGCTGGAGCATGAAGGGAAAGGCAGGGTCTGTGGAAAGGAACGGGATGTATGGCTTCGTCCTCTATCTAGCATGACCTCTGGTCATACTCCATGGAACAAACAGATGGACACTGTCTGGCCCAGCTTCTGGGCCCCCTGCCCCTCATCTCTGTGTTGGTCCTCTGCACAGTTGCCTTCTTGTCTCAGAGAAGGAAGCCATGTCCTTTCTCTGCAGTCTTCCTGCCCATGCTTTGGCTCATTCCTACTCTAAGTTGCCATAAGACAAGGTCTCCCAATTCAAGAGCCTCACCATGCTCAGAGAATCACCCTGTCCTTTTTTGAGGGCCACACCTTAAGAACAGAGGATTTCCGGAGGTAGATACCATGAGTTCTGAAATAGTTCTGAGGAAGAGTGACAAGAGACACTAGAGGCATTTGCCTGCTCCATGGCACTTGTCATCATACCTTCAGTCATTAATTTGCACATTTAATGTGCTTCCCTTGCCAATCCGGAAACCCAGGCTGCAAAGCCCACATCTGTTTGGTTCATCGTTTTCTGTGCAGAACCCAGCAATTTGAAAGGAGAAGAGAGGAAAATGGAGAGAAAGAAGAGGAGGAAGAA